CGCTCTCTTGTCACGCTTCTTGTTTTATGTAACGGACCCCGGAGAACATTTTTCCATTTCGCATAAAGAGATCCGCGGTCTGGTAATTACGAATATTATATAGACGATCGTTATGGCGACGCCTATGCGGTAATGCGAAAAGTCAACCGAGCGCAGCTGTCGAATCATAGACGTGCAGTTTATATAATTACAATAATAATAATAATAATAATAACAATAACGTTATCGATCGTCGGGATAACTGTCTGTTTCAGTGAGAGATTAATAATGTAACAGTCTCTCGAGCACGGATGAGGTACAATGAAATTAGAAACTTGAACATTAGTGTAGAAAAAATGGGGGAAACTCAAGAAAGAAAAATACATGAAGTTTGATTAGATTATGCTAACGGGGTAACTGGGACAAGCGCGTGTAAAATTTCGTTTGCATAAACATATAAAAGTACTGATAAATGAAGTACAGATAAATGTAGTTAAAATAAATGAAGTACAGATAAATATAGTTCAAATAAATGAATTACAGATAAATGTAGTTCAAATAAATGAAGTACAGATAAATATAGTTCAAATAAATGAATTACAGATAAATGTAGTTCAAATAAATGAAGTACAGATAAATATAGTTCAAATAAATGAATTACAGATAAATATAGTTCAAATAAATGAAGTACAGATAAATGTAGTTCAAATAAACGAAATACAGATAAAATGAAGTACGTATAAATGTAGTTCAAACAAATGGAGGTACAGCTAAATGTAGTTCAAACGAATGAAGTACAGCTAAATGTAGCTCGAACGAATGAAGTACAGCTAAATGTAGCTCGAACGAATGAAGTACAGCTAAATGTAGTTCAAACGAATGAAATACAGCTATATGAAGTACAGGTGAATGTAGTTCAAACGAACGAAGTTAGATGAACGGAGGTTAGGTAAATACGGTTCGGATAAATGTAGTTCTACCGTAGGAAAGAAAGAGGAGGAATCGGCGAGGAAAAGCGAGGAGGCGCGAGGACCTTTCTTGGTCGCGCGAGGTGGGGAGGTCGAGACGTCCCTGAACGGAGCGGAGACTAGTGGCCCAAGGACGTCGCGGGGCCCAGATTCTCTTCTCTCTCCCCCTCTCTTTCTCTCTCGCTCAGGTCACCTTCTCGGAGCAGCTCGCTTCTCTCTGGTCGTCGCGAGACCGGACAAGTTTTCGAAAAATCGGCGCGACGGACAAATTCGCGCGAAGCATCTTTCGAGCCAACCGCTCGCGCGACTTTTCCGCCGGTAGGCGGAGAGAGAGAGAGAGAGGGAGAGAGAGAGAGAGTCCTGTCTTCGGGTTTCAGCGATCGGTCTCGGTTCTCGGCGTTCTCCACGGCTCGTTTTCCTTCCACCGGCGAACAGAAACGCGCATGGACGCGCGAACACGCTCGCGAGGACTCGGTTGTGTGTCCTTCGGACCGTTGCTGCCCCGCTCGCCAGTTAGCAACAAGGCAACAAGCACGCCGCCGCCGCCGGAAATACCGGGTGTCCGAGTTGCACCGGCTCCTCCGTTCCCGATGCGGGACCGAGGGGCGTCGAACGATCGATGATGTTACTTCGGCCGGATTCGCCAAGATCCGCCGGTCTCGAACGAAAGAAGATTCCGTCGGGTTCCATCTAACGCGGAACGAACTCTATTTCTGCCGACGGATCGAGCGATACCGATGGCCAAGTATCGGAGCTCAAATAGATTAGTTTATTCGCTCGTTCATTTATTTATTTACGAATTTATTTATTTATTTACGAAGCTATTTATTTGCGAATTTATTTATTTATTTACGAAGCTATTTTTTTGCGAATTTATTTATTTACGAATTTATTTATTTACATATTACGAACGGGACGAAAGGAGTACACGAGTGCGTCAGAATCGCAAGCAGAGCAGGCGACAATCTCGTTAATTTCGGGGGACTCGGTGCCCAAGACGCGCGACATCGCAGGCGAAGAATGGTCGCGTACGATCCGTGGGGTATAATTAAGTTGAAACGCAGCCGTTGCGAGAGGAAGCTCTAATAATTCCAACGTTTCGATTTTCGCGAGGCCCGTCCCCGTCGCCGCCGCTCGAGCAGCCACCGAACGATGTGCCGGCGCTGTAATCAGATTATAATAAAACGCGAACGGATCGCGCGCGCGACCGAAAGAACGGATAAACGTGCGACCATGGCAACGAAACCGTCGGCCGAACGGCTCGGGTTCCGATGCGCGATAACGCCCACGTCGCAAAAAAAAAGTCGAATCGAGGAACCGAAAAATTCGAAATCCAGTCTCTCGATCCGTTTCGCTCCGCTCCGTTCCGTTCCCCCGACGTGTTTGTATCGCTTGTATCGCGTGTCTCGATACAATTTTCAAAGGAGGCTCGCAATTTACTCGCGCCGCGCGGCTTTAATAAGCACGAAGAACCGCTCTGGCCCTCGCTAATAACTCCATTTACGCTCTTTCCCTGGAGCGGCTCGCGTAGAGAAACTGTGTGAGGTCGATTTTATACTTTTATTTGTCGATTTATGGATTTATTCATTTATTTATCGATCTATTTATTTATTTATTTATCGATCTATTTATTTATTTATTTATCCATTTATTTATCGATCTATTTATTTATTTATCGATTTATTTATCGATCTATTTATTTATTTATCGATTTATTTATCGATTTATGGATTTATTAATTTATTTATTGATTTATCTATTTATTAATTTATTTATTGATTTATCTATTTATCGATTTATTTATTGATCTATTTATTTATTTATTTATTTGTGGGCTAAAGCCTCTTAGTTAACTCTCTAAGTAAAAAGTGTACACGAATGAACTTGAATGTATAACAATAATACAATATAATAACGCAACGATAGTAAAACAATGAAATGCTTGAACGGTTGAAAAGCTGCATTCCGCCGGAAGTCGTAACACGTGCGATTTGAAATTGAATCTATTACGATGCCGATTCACATTGCAAATGATCCCATTCGTACAGTTATTACGCGTAGACTGCGGATATTTATGCAGAATCGAAAACAGTCTTCGCTAATTGCACGATATGGTAGTAACTACGTAAACATTGATTTCTTTCCTTAACCCTTCGCACTCGAAGCCATTTTAGCTGTAAACCTTAAATCATTTTTCTGACTTGATAGTATTTCCATTTTATACGACAAAGTGCATTTTATGCGCATGAAATTGAGCCTTGTGCCGACTCGTACAATAGTTACACTTTCAACAATTCCTTAAACGTAAACTTTTTGTTAATATAAAAATTATCTTGGAATATGCTACGACAATTTTTTTAGCGGTGCCTCGGAGTCACCACTCGAGTGCAAAGGGTTAATATTTCGCGATTCGATTTACAAACACACATTTTCGTCAGGAATACGCGTTAAAAAGTCCCGCGGTCTACCGATCCCGCGGGCACGTCGAATCTCGCCGGCACACATTTACCTTATTTCTGCGTCGAACGTGTTCGATCGCTCACCGAAAATAGCTCCGCGCTTTGTTAGAGGCCGCGCGGGTCTCGACGCGGACAGAAATCGGCGCGTGTCACGGAGCGAGAAACGCGGGATGATTTCGTATGGGCGGACGCGGGCCGAGGAGATAAAGCGGAGCGGCGGCCTCTGGTTGCCGAAAAACCGGCCGCGGGCCCAGGAATTGCGATGTAATTTCACGCGAACTTTATCTAATCTGACCGCCGAGATATACGCTTTAGGTGTACGCCCACCGCGACGCGCACTTGGAACACCTATTTTCGTGGACATCGTCGGCCAATCGTCGCCAATTTTCTAACCGAAACTTCTGTTAAATCTTCAACAAATGTTCGTAGCACAACACAAAAAAAGAAACAAATTAAAGAAGAACAAAGGGAACGAACAAGTGGAAAAATTAGCTGCCGATAGCTGCGATGAATAATATAACCTAGACAAAGTTTAGGTTATATTATATTATATTTAATTAGGTTATATTATATTATATTTATAATGTAACCTAGACAAAGGTTATATGCGCGTCTTAACCCTTTGCACTCGAAGCCACATTTGAACAGTAAATCTAAAATAATTTTTCTAACCTACAGTGATTCCATTTTATATGACAAAGTGCATTTTATGCGCATGAAATTGAGCCTGTCTCTTATACACATCTTGATTCCATTTTATATGACAAAGTGCATTTTATGCATACGAAATTGAGTCTCCTAATTTATAGAACAGTTATGCTTTTAATAATATTTATAATCTAAACTTTGATGATACAAAAGTGATATTAGAACGTGATACAATAATTTCAGTGGTGCCTCGGACTCACCATTCGAGTGCAAAGGGTTAAAGCCTTACCACTGAAGCAGTGAATTTTCACGCCTTTAATTTCTTCCGCTGTGGTCGCTTATCAACGATTCGATGAAACTGTTGGTACAAATGGCCGACGACGTCCAAGAAAATAAATGTTTCGTTCCAGCGTACGCCGCGCCGTGAAACACATCGAGAAATACGCGAGAGAAGAGAAGAGAAGAGAAGAGAAGAGAAGAGAAGAGAAAGAAATCAACTTGCCATGGACTCGTCCCGCGCTGACGTCGCTCTATATTTAACCAACCGATCGAGCACGGCTCGCGCTCCAGAAACCCTCTCGAAAGTCGCTATTCTTTTCGTTCGCGTTGGCCGAATCGCTGCGCCATCTTGCCGAACGAAAAATCGTCCTGTAGGTGTCGCCGGCCTCGGGCGTCTCGCCTCGCATCGAATCGAGCTCGAAAAGAGATTTCGTGGAAGCTCGCGCGTTCCCGACGCCTTGAAACTGGGAACGAAAAGACCCGCCGAAGGTCAGGTGCACGCGCGTAAGCGGCGCTAAATCGACGTCTCGATATGCTCGAGAACTTTCGATACACGCGTTCTCGGAACAATTCTCGAAACCGTTCGGCCGTTTTATCGGAGCGGTGCCGCGGCGGCGGCGGCGTTCCAGACAGATAACTCAGAGCCCGACCTCGCTTTCTGTTCCAGGAAAAGAACTCTTTCCTCAATTACAACGTGTCCTGCATTCTGACGCTTCCGCCCTATCAGCGACAGGGGTACGGCCGGCTCCTGATCGATTTCAGTGAGTAGAGATCCCGCCGATGCTTGTTTTACCAATCGCTTCTCGTCCCCGGAATCGTTTCGCCGAATGGTACAGTGGCTCCTCGATTATCCAGCTCCGCACCGGTAGCGCCTACGGTCGCCGTCGTATTTCCAACCGTCTACTATCGCAGTTAATGGACTCTTCCTTCGTTATTTTCGCCGCTCGTAACCGTCTTCTCTCAGACGCGCTACGCCCGTTGCTTCGTTTCGCCGTTCTACAAGCTAATCGTTTTGTTTGCAATTTTTATCGCGTTTCTCTCTATCTCGTTAGCGTTTTTATTTTAACAACGAGATGTCTCACTTGTACGTCCGATAATCTTTTATTTATTGTACTTCCTGCACTGTGCATATTTATTATACTCTCTCTCTCTCTCTACCGTACACATTTATTATATTTCCTGTACTGTACATATTTGTTATACATACTACGTGTATATTTATTATAAATACTTATTTACTACTTTCTCTTCTTACCTTTTTTTTCATCGAACTTCTCCTTTTTATTTCTATTTCTTTTTTCTTTCCTGTTGCAAAGAGTTCTTTCTACCCCGGTACGAACAAAATTATTCGTTGTTTCTCTGCTTATTCTTTCGACGAAAGAATAAACGTGACACCGGAGAAGCGGAAATTACCGAAAGCAATGATTATTGTTGATATTGACATGACCCAGACGTCCGTCTCTCGCTGTTGTTGATTTTCCAAATTCGTTCTGCCCGCGAACCAGTTCGATTCGAAACGATGCACAGCGACCAAACGAACCGTGTAAATCGGCAACAACGATCCGGCGGTCTTGCAACCGAATTGTTCCATTATCCGAACGTTCGATTCCCCGGATAATCGAGGTTCTACTGTACCTGGAACCGGTAGCTGCTCTTCTAAAATGTTAGTTACTCTCTTAAAATGTCAGGAGTCGTAGGGAAATAGCGAATGCAGCGAGAATCTCGATTCCAACATTTTTTTTTCCATCGCGTCCGCTCGATTCCGCTGCGAGCGGACACGCGCTTGTCCTCGCCGCGAGCCCGTCCCTGGACACAGGATGACGACACATCCTGCCGACGAAATCGAAAGGACTACCGAATTAGGAACCGGACGACGAACGGGAACCGCCCCCGCACGCGTCTCTCGCCGTTCCGCGAGACGAATACAATTTTCTCGGCGTTCGAGCTTAACCTTTTAGGCACGACGCGCCACTATAGTGGCTTCCGCGGATGTCATCTTTCAGAACGACGCGCCACTATAGTGGCTTGCTCTAGTAGCTCACTCGCTCATCGTTTGAACCAAATAATCGTCTTCATATGCATTCTTTCACACTTCTTTTGTCTTCGCATCGATTTACAACAGTCTACAGGGTGTCCCAAAAATGTCTCGCAATCCGGAAATGGCGGGTTCCTCGGATCATTTGAAGCAACTTCTTCCTTTACAAAAATGTTCTCCGAGTCACCGTTAACGAGTTATTAGCGAAAAACAGTGACCAATAAGAATCGAGTATGGCTGATGCGAGGCGGCCCAGCCAACCAGCGCGCGAAGCCCAGTTCCGCTCATTGGCTCGATCGCCTCGCGCCAGCTTAGCTCGCCTCTCATTGGTCACTGTTTTTCGTTAACAACTCGTTAACGGTGCCTCGGAGAAAATTTTTGTAAAGGAAAAAGTTGCTTCAAATGGCCTGAGGAACTCGCCACTTTCGGATTACGAGGCATTTTTGGGACATCCCCTGTATATACAGTATCAGACTCTGTACAGTACA